GAAATGTCAATGTGATTTGTACTTGAACTGATAAATTAATAAATATTTATAATACAAAAAAATTGCTCTTCCCAAAAAATTGGACTTTATGTATGTGTTCTTCTATGATTAGGGACATTGCACTGTAAACTACACTGGAGTAGGAACTAATGGGAATGGTTCTTTAAAGCCTTTTTGTTATGTATTAACAGTATATTAATGTACAAAGACAAGCTCTAACTTGTACAAGAGAAACCATTCAGATATGTAGTGGATGTTATTGTACTGTGTTCTATTCTTATTATGATACTGTTTCTATATCTGCTCCAACTGTATGCTTCTGTGATCCCCCTTGTGTATTTTACATTATTTTTGTGATTATGTTCATATTATGTTCCAGTTATCAAGTCATGTAACTTCTGTTTTTCAGGTTTACTTTTTCTTTATTGCTTGTAAAATCGCTATCCAAAATGGAAATGTTTATCAATCATCTGTTGTCTTGTGAATTAGCTTGTTGACCTCATAGGGAATTTCTCTCTTCGTCATATTTTTATTATTTCTTTGTTATTTCCCTCCAGAGTATTTCTGAGTGAGTTTTTGTATTGATTATAAATTATATCAACTTCATGTTATATTAGTTTCATATATCTTTTCCTCATTTATCAACTACAATATTGTGGGTATTTATTGATTTGCTGTTGTTCATTAGGGCAGACACACTGATTTGAGGGTGTCCTCACAGAAACCTCCCAGTGTGAATATATAGATTACAAATGATTTAGTTTATTGACTTGCCTCCTCTATGTTTTTAAATACATTTTTGTTATTTGGATTATGTTTTGTGTCTTAGATATACAATGTGCTTTTATGTGGATTAAGAAAGATGTTGTTTGACAAATTCAGCTGTTCGGTTCTCTGTGGGACAATCCTTTGTTAGAATTACTAATAACACATTTCCTTGTGCTACTTGTCTGCCCTCAGGATATTCAATACTTCAGGCCATCATGGAGAAGGCTGGTCAGAATGGGTGGCAAGTGAGTGCAATATGTGTGGAAAACTTCAATGATGCTAGCTACAGACGTCTTCTAGAGGACTTGGACCGAAGACAAGAAAATAAGTTTGTAATAGACTGTGAAGTTGAAAGACTTCAGAATATTCTAGAACAGGTAATTACTATGTTACCAGCTTCCTAATTTTAACATTTATTTTTTTACACTGAATGGAAAATTTCTTCTAACAGTAAAGATACTGTCCTAGTCCCGTGCTTCCACAGTGAATGTGTTTTATATTTTGCTGTGTTCTTCAACACATGAAGATTGAGTGGGCATATTCTCAAATACATACAGTACATGGTCCATATATTAAACTAAAAGCAGGTTTGTTCACTTTACCTGAATTACCTAAAAGTACCTAAATTTTACATGGCACCAGCCTATTGCAGTTTGTGTACAGCAGGGCTGGAGTGTGGGAGGAAGTAGTTTAACAAACTCTAGGGACATATTAAATATAAGTGTTCTAGTTTACTGTCCACTTCATTTTTTACATGTATGTTTGTTTTGTGCTGCTTTTAAATATGTTTCAAGGGCAAGATAGGCAATGTTTACTTTGGAACTATGTTTTATTTGTGTGGATTATATGAGTTAGATTGGACTTTGTAGTTTTAAAGATGTTGTGCTACTATTAGAAGAAATAATCAGTAGTGGGGTAGAGCCAGGTCATGTAATCTCAACAGTGGAGTAGAGCATGGTCATGCAATGGATTACCCAGGTTGGAAACTGTTCAAATTTTCAGAAAATATATTGTTTATTTAAGATATAATTAATAGTTGGCTGATTGCTAAAAGTGAAAGACATGTCAAACCTCTTTTTTTTTATATGTATCAATCATTATCCCTAATCGGTGTGTCTTAGCTTTTACATCACTTCTCTAGAATCAGAATTCTCTCTATGGGGTTGATTTACAAAATGCAAATAGGCTAGGTGCACTTTGCAACAGATCGTCCCCAGAACTTAGTGAATGTGTTGAAATTTAATTTTGCAAAGAATACCCAATCATGTGCAAGGAAAATAAAAAGTAACACTTGATTAAATGGGTGGTTGAAGTCAACAGAGTTTCATGTTATTCACTAAGTAAGCTCTGGGGAAATTGCCTTGCAGTACCTCCACTACAGCTAATAGGAATTGTAAAGCTGGTCATACATGGTTCAGGTCTTTTTTTTTCGTTCAGCCAGCCAGCTAAATGAAAATAACAGAACTAATTCCCCCATAAACACACTTGAGGTGGATAAGGGAATCATCTCTGTTGAGCTGTTGTATTATGACAGCAGGACAGCTCCAATGTTCCTCTGCTGCTAGAATACACAGATAAGCACTGCGGCCGATTGGCTGCATGGGCTGCTCAAAGCAAAATTCGTCCAGTTCATGCCCAACTTTGATCCATGTATGGTCAGCTTTACCCAAATAGCTGGCAGTTTCCAATGCTGATTGCTGGACAACCAAGGTGTGGTCAAACATGATGTTATCAGGATACATGTGTTATATGTCTGTTTAATGTTCATTGTATAATTCTTGGGTAAACTTCCATTTTTATTCCCACCCCTGGGCTAACGTGCTTTATGATTGAATGGATCTAGACATTTTATAATAAAATATGTACTTTTATATAGTTAAACTTGCAAAGTCAGATGGCTGTAAGTGGGAGAGTCTAGTTTTTATCAGGCTACAGGAAGAACTGTCTAGCCCAGGGGTCTCCAAACTGCGGCCGGAGGGCCGGATGGGACCCTTTGCTACCCTTTATCCAGCCCTTGGGGCACTATTCCTCCCAATGAGACCAACAATGGGGCAGTACTTCTTCCCATGAAACCAATGATGGTGTACTATTCTTCCCACTAATACCAATGGTGGGGCACTACTCCTCCTCCTACTGAGCAACAACCCTGAGGCCATGTTTATTCTCACTAAGGGCCTGTTCACACTATAGAAACACAGTCCAGATGCATTCCGGATGCGTTTTTGCATGCATATTTTTGATGTGTTTTTGACGTTCCTTATGCATTCAAGTTAATTTTTTCCCCTCTGTTATTCAATTTAAATAGGGACATGTGCGTTCCTGTGCATTTGTAATGCATTTTACTTTGTTCCAGTACAGTTCTATGCAGAAAAAATGCAGCATGTTCTACTTTTTTTTCTGCAATTGGAACGCACTGGAACTGCAAGCACTGATGTGAACTATGACATTGACAACCATATAACCTACTTTCTGTGTGTTTTGGATGCAGAAAGAAAGCACACTGAAACACATGTTGTGTGAACTGTCCCTGTTACTGGGCTTGGACATTTTCTATCTTCACTGGCCCTAATCCGGCCCTCCTAAAGTCTGAAGGACAGTATACTGGCCCTTTTGTTTAAAAAGTTTGGAGACCCCTAATCTAACCTATCGTTGCTAAGAAGTTAGAACACATTGATGAAACTGACACAGTAAAGATATATTCTACAGTTTCATATTACATAAATCAAGAGGAAAAAAAAAACTCTTATTGTTTTAATTTTATGTTAAAATGTTTAATTCTCTTTCTTAAATCAATATTCAGTGGATGCTAAGTGTCTGGGAGGCTCAGATAGATCTTTCCCTAAAGGGCAATAAAAAGATTAGAGGAAGAAGCTATATCTTTTTTCTCTTAGCATTCACAGAAACATGGAAAAGATTAGAAATCCCTCAGTACAAAAAATGTTCTGCTCTGCATGTCTTTAGGACTTTATCTGTATTGCTGCCCGTGACGCTGAGATGATATCATCGAGAATAGATGCATGATGTGAAGTCACGTTGTGTTTGCACACTTTCCCTATTAGTGCAGAAAGCAAATAAAATTCTCATCACGCAGCTCAGTTAGTTTAGCACATAAACCTGATTTACAGCACAACTATCAGGACCTTAAAGTGGTTGCAAAGACTCAAGGTTTTTTACCTTCATGCATTCTATGCACGAAGATACTGTAAAAAACCTTCTGTGTGTAGCAGTCCCCCCCCCCCCCCAGTACTTACCTGAGCCCCATCTCGATCCAGTAATGTGCTTGAGTGTCAGTTACCTGGTAGTGAGCCTGACGTGCAGAGGAAGGTCTCTTGTACAGCTCCGGCTCAGGGGTCACTGATCGTGGAGCAGTAACCACGAGAGCGAGGCGAGGTACCGTGATCAGTCCAGTAGTGTTTGTAGGTAGTAGCAGTCACTTTGCTGAAATGATGCCAAGAACAGAGCAGCCGGTGGTAGGCAGATCTCTAAGCAGGGCAAGCTGGTAGCAGGTAGATGGCACAGCAGACAGGCTGGTAGAAGACAGGCTGACAGCAGATAGATGGTACAGCAGGCAGGCTGATAGCAGATGGCTGGCAGCAGGCAAATACCACACCAGGCAGGCTGGAAGAGGACAGGCTGGTAGCAGGCAGACGTGTCAGATGAGAACGTACTGGACTACGGAGTTGAAGCACGCTGGATGAAGGGGATGCAGGGTCAGGCAAACCGGGTTGGCAACAGATGAGCAGATCAGGCATAAACAGCAGGCAGGAGAGGAGTCAGGTCACAGGCCAATGTTCGCAACAGTAGAGGCAGATCAGGCAGAGACAGTAAGCAGAAGCAGCATCTGGAGAACAAGCCAAGGTCAGGGTAGGTAGCAGACAAGCAAAGTCAGGATCAGAGGTCAGGATAATACACGCAGAAGCTGCAGACCAAACAGCAATTAGCCAGTGCAGTAGTCCTGTTTACCCCCTTCCTGCCCAGGCCAGTTTTCAGCTTTTCAGTGCTGTCACACTTTGAATGACAATTGTGCAGTCATGCATCCCATATGAAATTTTTATAATTTTTTTGAGACAGATAGAGCTGTCTTTTGGTGGTATTTAATCACCTCCTGGGTTTTTTATTTTTTGCCAAACAAACAAAAAACAACTGAAAATTTTGAAAAAAAAAACATTTTTACTTAGTTTTTGTTATAAAATTTTGTAAATAACTTATTTTTCTCCTTTACTGATGTGCGCTAATGAAGCTGTAGTGATGGGCACTGATAGGCTGCACTGATGGGCACTGATAGGTGGCACTGATGAGGAGGCACTAGTAGGTGGCACTGATGGGCATTGAAAGGCAGCACTCATATATGGCACTAATAGGTGGCACTGATAGGCGGTACTGACTGGCACTGATAGGTGGCACTGACTGGCACTGTTAGGCGGCACTGATAGGCAGCACTGACGGACACTGATAGGCAGCACTGATGCGCACTGATAGGTGGCACTGATTGGCAGCACTGATAGGTGGCACTGACTGGCATTGATAGGTGGCACTGACTGGCACTGATAGGTGACACCGAAAAGGCAGCTCAGATAGGCACTGATATGTGGAATTCATGTGCACTGGTAAGCACTAATATGTGGCATTGATGTGCACTGGTAGGCGCTGATATGTGGCATTGATGAGGCACTGATGGGCACTGGCAGGTGGCATTGATGTGCACTGACATCTGGCATTGATGGGCACTGACAGGTGGCACTGGTGGGGCTACACTGATCAGTGCCCTGATGATCAGTGTACATGTCCCCTCTGAAGAATGCCGGCATTTCCCTATTTGGACACAGCTGATTACATGACCGAGCCGACATCTTTGGCTCTTTTCGTTGATCGGTGATCCACTGTGTCTGAGGGACACAGCGCACCACCGATCGCTGCACTGCGCGCTCCGGAGCCACGCATGCATAGTTAGAGTAGGAGGTCGTTATCCTCCCAGAACGAGAGAACCGCCTTGTGCACATCATTACCTTATATGGCGGCCAGAAGGCGGTTAAATAGGCCATTTGTTTCCAGTCTTGGTAACAGGCACGCACCAGTATGCGTGAGTGTACATCTGCCCAGCTAATTGCAGGTCTGCGCATGCGCATTTTTATGCGCCATGAAACTTTTATTATGAGCAAGCCTCTCTGGGGTCTCTGCCTCCTCATTGGCTGACAGCAGCAGGAGCCATTGTCTCCCTCTACTGTCAATCACAGCCAGTAAGCCAATGAGGAGAGAATGGGGGAGGGGCCAAGGTGCCCTCTGTGTCTGAATAGACAGACAGAGCAGTGGCTTGGGAGTGAGCCTGCTTGGGTGCTCCCATAGCATGCTGCTTGCTATGTGGAATGTGCAAGAGGGAGGGGCCAGGAGCGCTGACGAATGACCCGAGAAAAGAAGGATCAGGGCTGCTCTGTGCAAAACTGTTGCACAGAGCAGGTATGTATACCTTGTTTGTTATTTTTTTTTTTTTTTTTTAAAACAACCTTTGATATCACTTTCACATGCTTTGCTGGAGTTTTGTTTTGTTTTTTTGCCTTCCTCTGGATCAACTGTTGGTATAGGATTATGTATAAAGGATTGTATAATTTTTTTCTCCCTCTTTATTGGCTGAACTAGATAGACTTGTGTCTTTTTTTCAATCTTACTAACTTTAACACCATATATTTTAGTGGCATAGTAATGTATAAAGTTCATAGAGGTGAAGGAGCAGAGATGGCAGTGGGTCACCTGTGACCAATCCTGTCACAGAGGGCTTTGGGCTTGTTCCTACTCACCTTTACAAACAAAGCACTGTCATGCAGTTCACACCAGCTCAGATAGCAGGCATTTCATAGCCGAGTTACACAGAGAAGTAGACTTGTGCAGTAAACAGAGACGCTCCTCCACATGCTTTTGCACAGAACAGGTGAATATGACATGTTTATTATTTTTTGAAAAAAAAACTTAAAGCTTTGCAATCACTTTACAGATGAAGTTTAATCTGCTGATATTTTGCCTTTCCTGATTCCTACTCCTCTCCCCTCACCAATCTGATAATGATATGTTTTAATAAAACCCTTCTGTTTCATAACATACCTGGGTCTCCATGCCTCTCTATGCAATACATGTACATCATGACTGGTGGGAGATCCCACCAGGTTGTTGTACTTAGCTTCCTGAAACATCACAGCACCCTGCCTCTGTACTGCTACACAGTGAGTTGGTTGAGTGAATATCAAAACATCCTAATGAATGTGTGTCAGTCTGGATGACTGGGCATTCCCAGGACAGCTTCATTTGCATGCAGATTACCATCAGTAGTATCCACATGTCATGCTGAGCCTCCATGATTGAAAAAAACTGAAATCCAATTTATAAAAGAAGTGGGCAAGAGGCATACATGCTGGAGAGGAAAGGCCTATGTAATGCTGGACATCCTCAAGTCAGGAAATAAGGTGGGGTCTATATTCTATTTATTTATTTCAGGTACTTATACAGCGCTGTCAATTTTCATAGCGCTTTACATATATATTGTACATTCACAGCAGTTCCTAACCCTCAAGGGGTGTACAATCTAAGGTCCCTAACTCACATTCATACATACAAAGGCCAATTTAGACAGGATCCAATTAACCTACCAGCATGTCTTTGGAGTGTGGGAGGAAGCCAAAGTAACCGAAGGCACAGGGAGAAAATGCAAACTCCAGGCAGGTGGTGTCGTAGCTGAGATTCAAACCAACGACCCTAGTGCTGCCAGGCAGAAGTGCTAACCATTTAGCCACTGTGCTACCTATAAGGCTTGCTACAGCTTCCAATGCACATTGTGAGAAATTCAGTGTGCAGTGAAATCAAAGTAAGAAATTTCATTACAGAAGAGGAGACTGTACAACTGTGCAAGACAAAAGCTGACCATACGTTATACAATTTTCTTGTTCAATTTCATTTAGATTTACCTTTAACTATGTAGTGCAAGGGCTTACCTGACTGCATACAGATTGAAAGTTTTATTAGGTTTTACCTCATATTATATGGTTTTGGTAAATCTATAGGAAAATTGTAAAAGAAAATTGTATAAGGTATGGCCAGCCTTAGGGTAAGGCTGAAGTTCAGCTTTAAATAGTGTGATGGGGAACTGGGGTGGAGTATAGTAACAATAAGGGCACAATGGGACCTCTGTTCAGACTTTGGGGTTGATTTACTAAACCGAGAGAGTGCAAAATCTGCTGTAGCTGTGCATGGTAGCTAATCAGCTTCTATCCTCAGCTTGTTCAGTTAACCTTTAACAAAAAAAAAAAACTGGAAGCTGATTGGTTTCTATGCACAGCTGCACTAGATTTTGTACTCTCCAGTTTTAGTAAATCAACCCCTTTGTGTAGAGTATACAATAAAAGGCTAATAAAGGCTTCTACTAGTGTGCAAAATGAATTCACAGTCATTCCTTTCTTATTATATGAGTATTTGAAAAGCTGGGTAGGACATATCTGTCAAATTGTGTACATCTGCCTAGTATGATATCATATAGATGGAGATGTATTTGCTTGGGAGCTTGGGAGTGACAGGTATCCCACAGTGGTCTGTTGGCACTGTATTTAATTAAGTCCCTCTTCAACATACAGCTGTCAAGAGGGACCCTTCCAAGCTTCTGAAATAATAAGGGAGCAACTGTGAAATAAAAACAATTTGAAACAACAAAACAAATCCAATAAGTATGAGCAGGAATTTGGCTCAGGATCACATACACCAGACCAGAAGTACTGATATGTGTCCATGAGTAATATAATTCAATGAGCTGTTTAAAATAATCTATGCAGCTTTAGACTTATTAGCAAAATACATGTGTAAGGAGCACACTACTATCAAAATTACAATATAATGATCAGCAGTATATAGCATAACCCAACCAAAAATTACTTTTTTAATAGTCTGCATTCAAATATATGTTACTGCTAATCAACAGTAATATTATAACAGTCCACAGTGATTTTAAAATATTTCCTAACCAGCAATGCCATCATAATAGGAGCAGTGACTTCATAATATCTCTTAACCAGGAATGGGATGATAGTAGCCAAACAGTGACATTATAACAGTCTTGTTTTTCCAGGGTTCCTCCAAAGGTTGCTAGGAGCTCCTTGAGCTGTGAGTAATGGCAGAGTTACCGCATGACTAGGGATGAGCTAATGTTCAGGCCAAACCGAATTTGCTCCAAACCCTTAGAAAGCTCACATGATATGAGGTCACTGGCCCATCCAACTGATCAGTTGCAGTCATGGAGTTCCCCACCCTGCATCCGCAGATCACAAATGGGTGCTTGTCATGTCATTGACCTAATATGGCCTTAAATATCATGTGACAGTTTCCCGAAGGTACATCCTTACTCTTTATTCCTGAGTAATGGTGCCTACATAGATCCAGGATTGGTGTCACAGGGCAGAACTTGTGGTGCGGGATCAGCTTTCCCTTAGGTAAGTAGCCACTGCCACCAATGATCTTTTTATTATTATTATTATGTGCCATCAACTCTAGTCTGAGTCCTAGCAACTTGATGAATAAGAGCAAGTCTTGTGAGATTCTCCAGTGTCATCCCCACAGCTGTAGTGAATGTGTCCAACCACCTAGTAGTCGGTCTCCCTATTCACCTGGTTCCTTCAATGTTACATTATTTTCTAATCCAGTGATCTCTCCCTTCTGATACTGTTACCAATATAAGACAGTCACAACTTCATCATATGGGCTTCTAGTGGCATAGTCAATTTGATACCTTCCAGAATCGATCTATTTGTTCTATGGGCTGCCCGCAGCACACTTTAAATCCTTCTCCAGCACCAAAGCTCAAATGAGTCAATCTTTCTTCTATCCTGTTTCCAGAGTGTCCAGCTCTCACAACTGTAATTGACAACTGAGACAATGAGAGTATAGACAAGTCTGATCTTTGTTTTCAGTGTAATTTCTTTGCATTTGAAAACTTTGTTGAGAGTCTTCATTGTGTAGCTACCAAGTGCATTTCTGCCCAATATTTTATCACTGCTGGTTGCTTCCTTGTTATTGAGAGAACCTAGGACATTAAAACGATTAACAACTTCTATTCTGTTACTGTCAAACTAAAATTTGTTGTCATTTTCTGTGTTCATGACCTTCATCTGGTTTATATTCAGTTCTAATATCATGTTATGACTTTCGACTTTAACTTTTCTCAGTAAATACAGCATATCTTCTTTGCTGCTGGTGATGAGTGTTGTGTCATCTGCATAGTGCAGGTTGTTTATATTTTGGCTGCCAACTTTAATACCGACAGACTCTTCTTCCAAATTTACTTTTCTGAAGATGGCCTCTTTTTAGCTGTCTAGAAATGATTTTTTTTAGCTGTCTGTAAATATGGTATTTTTCCAATGGCCCTCAAAGTACCTGTACAGTCTCCCCAAAGATCTAAAAGATGTATCAGGATATTTTGTTCACTGATCACCAATATAATTGACTATTATTTCTACTGACCCACAAATGTAACAGGGCATTCTTCCTACTTACCGCCAATATCAGTCTTTCCACTGACCATCAGTGTTAGGGGCATTCTTTTTCCACTGGCCACCAGTGTTTTTCAGCCCATCCTTATTATTAGTTTCATTTTAAATTTATATATTATTACTGAAAATAATTGTGTCATATAGAACAAGTGGTAAAAAAATGATTTGCTCCAAGTTGTCAAATACTCCAGGTATGCCACTTTTATTTATTATTATATTTATAATTTACTAATCATGTTAATGTACCATGAGCTGCAGATGTAATACTTTTAGAAGGGTTTCCCTGAGACCTAAGCATTTTGTAAGTGTTTCTTCAGAGCAAACAGGAAAGTTTCATATCTCCTAGCCAACAATATTATAAAAGCCAGGAGTGGCTACAAACACCCCTCCAAATCATTGGAGTCCAGTGTTCCAGTCACCTTTATGGCCACAGGTGTATAAAGGTAAAGGTAGAAGCAGACTGGCTACCATGTACAGCTGCACCAAATTCTAAGTGCTCCATTTTTAGTATATCTCCCCCAATGTATCACTACAAGGAGGTGCATTTAAGCTATTCATCCTAATGCCAGCAGGGATGCCTCTGCTACCTGTCACAGCTCCTCTACCCACAGAGAACAAACAGGCAGCATTGGTAGAACCATCACCAGAAGTAGATGTCTAACAGAGCCATTCCAACTTTTTTGCAGGCAGGTATCACCCCAGGTAGCACTCACAGACATGGCTTGTCCATGATGGTTAACAAGCATGTCAGCTCCAGTTCGGAAATCAACAACCTCAGAAGTGAAGAATGACCCCATTGATTCTTGGGTCTAAGATGTACACTATATTTGCCAAAAGTATTGAGACACCCCTCCAAATCCTTAGATTCAGGAGCTCCAATCACCTCCAAGGCCACAGGTGTATAAAGTCAAGCACCTAGGCATGCAGACTGCTTCTACAAACATTTGTGAAAGAGTGGGTCGCTTTCAGGAGCTCAGTGAATTCAAGCGTGGTACCGTGATAGGTTGCCACCTGTGCAATAAGTCCATCCGTGAAATTTCCTTACTACTAAATATTCTTCAGTCAGCTGTTAGTGGTATTATAACAAAGTGGAAGCAACTGGAAACAACAGCAATTCAGCTATGAAGTGGTAGGCCACATAAAATGACAGAGCGGGGTCAGCATATGCTGCAGTGCACAGTGCACCGAAGTCACCAACTATCTGCAGAGTCAAAAGCTAAAGACCTCCAAACTTTGTGTGGCCTTCAGATTAGAACATCAACAGTGTGTAGAGAGCTTCATGGAATGGTTTCCATGGCCTAGCAGCTGCATCCAAGCCTTACATTACCAAGTGCAATGCAAAGCGTTGGATGCAGTAGTGTAAAGCACGCCGCCACTGGACTCTAGAGCAGTGGAGACATGTTCTCTGTAGTGATGAATCACATTTCTCTGTCTGGCATTCTGATGGACGTGTCTGGGTTTTGCAGTTGCAAGGAGAACGGTACTTGCCTGAGTGCATTGTGCCAAGTGTAAAGTTTGGTGGAGGGGGATTATGGAGTGGGGTTATTTTTCAGGGGTTGAGCCCCTTAATTCTAGTGAAGGGAACTCTTAAGGTGTCAGCATACCAAAACATTTTGGACAATTTCATGCTCCCAACATTGTGGGAACAGAATGGAGATGCCCCTTCCTGTTTTAACATGACTGCGCACCAGTGCACAAAGCAAAGTCCATAAAGACATGGATGAGCAAGTTTGGGGTGGAGGAATATGACTGGCCTGCACAGCGTCCTGACCTCAACTCGATAGAACACCTTTGGGATGAATTAGAGCGGAGACTGTGTGACAGGCCTTCTCACCCGATATCAGTGCCTGACCTCACAAATGCGCTTCTGAAAGAATGGCCAAACATTCCCTAAGACACACTCCTAAACCTTGTAGACAGCCTTCCAAGATGAGTTCCAGTTGTTATAGCTGCAAAGGGTGGGACAACTCAATATTGAACCCTACGGACTAAGACTGGGATGCCATTAAAGTGCATGCAGTTCATTGGTACACAATGGTTGGGCATAAAGCTCAAACAGAAACACAGGGATTCCTCATAGTGTAGTAAGTATTGACATTTAATATAACATGTAAAAATTATACTGTCATATGAAGCAAAGGGCTACATAGCCCATTCAAGCATAACAAACAGAGGTGAAGTAAGATGGCGGCTGGCATCGGCGCACCAGAAATGACATCGCCTTGCATCTGTCCGAAATGTTGCGTCACGTATAACGTGACTTCATCAGAGATCAGAGATCCCTGACATATATATGTAGAGAGAGAGAGAGAGAGAGAGAGAGAGACAGAGAGAGAGAGAGGGTGCAACAAAGAACTCCATGGCATCCTTTCATTCAGTCTGAATGGTTGGCCATTGAACAATCTGTGTAAAAAGGTATCCCAATTTCTAAGATCCTGGAATTGTAAGAAAGAGGCACAAGGAGAAAGATGGAAACCTCATCAGGGACTTGGGATGTATGTTTCAATACATGATGTGTGCACACTTTTTCAGTTGCTCCTCTGCACAAAAATGCTGGTGCAGCCGAGAGATTCACGTACCTGTCAGAAACAGGCACATGAATTTCTTCCACAGAGGGGAGCAGCACTGAGGCTGGAGGGTCCATACTGTGGACATTCCATCATCAGTTCATGTTCAGCCCCTTGCTAGCTAGAACACTATCAGCTTTGCAGCTGACAGCATCATAGCAACGGATGGTTCATCTCCGACCCTAGTAAAGGGTTAGATCATCTTTGCAGAAAATATCCAATACATTACAGGTTCCCCAGTACATTTACAATCCTTCATTTTGGAAATGATGCTTACTTTTCAAGATGCCTTTTTCATTGGGCTCCCATCTCCACTCTGCCTAGGAGAAGAGGGTCCAGCACCTCACAAACAAGCACTTAGCTTTGTTCCCCGCTCATGCATGCACAGTCCATTTTTCTGGAGCTGTAATATATAGAGAACTTTTTTTGCAAATATCATTAAAGGTGAACTAAACCTTTGAGCTAATGGCTGGGGAATCTCCCAGCCGTCAGCTGAAGGGAGCTTGGAAAGTTACCAATTGCTATGACATCGGGGACCACCAGCTTTATAGCAACCAGGGAGCTCTGTGTGGGAAATTTAACTATATATATATATATATATATATATATATATATATATATATATATATATGTGTGTGTGTTAGTATACTGTAAATGTTTGTGTGTGTATATAAATATATATATACACACTCACCAGCCACTTTTTTAAGTACACCTGTTAAATTGCTTGGTAACACAAATTGCTAATTAGCCAATTCACAGCATCAGAATGGCAGCAGGGATTTTAATGAACATGGCATGGTTGTTGGTGCCAGATGGGCTGGTATCTCGGGTTCACAGAGAATGGTCCGAAAAAGAGAGCGGTAGCTGTGTGGACCAAAATGCCTTGTTGATGTCAGAGGAGAATAGGCAGACTGGTTGCTGTGACATTCAGATGGTAGGGTCAGAATTTGGCATAAACAACATTAAAGCATGGATCTATCCTGCCTTGTATCAATGGTTCAGGCTGGTGGTGGTGTAATGGTGTAGGGGACATTTTCTTGGCATTTGACAGGGTGTACCTAATAAAGTGGCTGGTGAGAGTATATATATATATATATATATATATATATATATATAATAATATATATATTTTTTTACATTTAATACATGCTTTTGTACATTCAAAATGTTATTACAAAGTGTGCTTGTTCTTGAGCTGGCAAAGTTGGGGATATTGCAAACAATGCTTCCAAAAGAGAAGTTATTTATAGAGATGAACTTGGGTGTCCTCCAAACTCATATCTAGCCAAACTATGAACTCGCACTTTTTTTTACTCTGATGAGCTGCAGGACGGGACTTTCCCACCCTGAAGCTCATGAAAACAAAGAGGCCATCTGCAGGGCAGGAATGACCCAACCCGCAGCTCATTGGAGTAAACAAAAGAGTGCCAGTTTGGAGTTTGGCTAGCGATTTATAGAACACCTGAGCTCATATCTCGTGATTTACAAAAAATATCAATAAAAAGGTAAAAGCAGTGGGGCTAATTACCTGAGCTCAGCAAATAAAATGAATGTTCACATCAGTATCCCAAGCATGTGCATTCATTTTCTTTTTTTTAGTTTTCCTTTACTGGTTGCTGAAAGTGTGAAAGTGAAAACACCTTCACCTGAGTCTTCATTTTAATTGAACAGCCTCCACTCCAGCCTTTATCAGTTTTTAATACAGAAACCCTTGAAATACCTTTCAGGTCAGGAACCCCTACTAATAATTATTCTCTCTCTTCATCTAAAGTTGCGACATATGACTAAAAAACAATAACAAATACTGTGGCGTACTTAGCATATTTGACACCAGAGCTGCTCCATTCAAAACATTATTCTCAGCAATAATAATAAAATGAAACAAATAATAAAATGCCAAAAATGAAAGGCAGATAGTGAAATCTGTAGTGTTCCCTCACCCTGGTGGTCAGTGGAGAAATGTCAGTTTACATTGATCATGCTCATTTTTTGCAGTCAGTGTAGTGTCCTTGTATTAGCTGTCAGCAAAATGCTACCTTACACTGGTGGTCAGCGGTGAAGGACCCCCTTGATCAAGAGTGTCACAATCACTTGCATTATGATTGCCCTCAAAGGGCCAGTTGAATCTGTAAGACTAGATGTCCAGAGCACCCCCCCCCCCCTTATATCAGATGTCAAGAGCCCCCCCGCCCCATCAGAAGTCAAGAGTCCTCCACCTTCTCTTACATAACAGTGCTCTCCCTTACCTGCCGCCGGAAAGAGGTTGGGGGTGGAGCTGGGAAGCAGAAAGTCCAAGGTCTGGAGGAGGACCAGGGGAGAGCTGGACTCAGCTGCCGGAGTCTGCTGAATGCTGAGACCAGGGGAGGTGGAGGAGAGAGAGTGCTATGGCTTCACAGAGAAGCACAGGATCTGTAGGAGGAGTTCTGTCCTCCTCTCTGCTGGTGACTGCTGAAACAAGTTGGGGCAGAGATGAGGTGTGAGGGCCACATTGTGGTCTGGAAGACCATATTCATCCTGTGGGCCTTGTTTTTGACACATGTGCCTTAGATTAATGGTCAGTGGGAGAAGGAATCCCTTACTTTGGTGGTCAGTGGAAGACGAACCCCATAACAATGGTGTTTAATGACAAAAATACTCCTTACATAGCTGGTTATTGGGAAGTAGAGATGAGCTTAGGCATCCTCTGAACTCTTTTCCAACCTGAACGTTGAACTAATTTTGTACTTCAGTGAGCTGAGGGCCTGAGCTCATCTCTAGTGGGAAGAATACTCCCGACATTTATGGATAGTGGGAAGAATAGTCATATTCTACATAGTCATATTGTAGATCAGTCATAGATGACTGATCTACAAGGCAGAAATTGCTGATTGCTTAAGGAACCCCTAACAACTGCTGGAGGATCTCTAGGGCTCCAGAGAACCCTTTTTGAGAAAGGCCGTTCTACTCAATCCAAATGTGTACAATTTTGTAGTAAAGGAAATAATCACTTTTCTGTATGGAGGGCAGTGGGCAGTATGTGCTCGCCTGTAAGAAATCTTGTTGAAGCAGTAAGACAACACTACATCTTGTTGTTGTGTTAAGACTTGCTATTGTGTAAGCTTTTTTTAGATTAAACTGTCAAGCTGGGGTCAGTGACTTCAGCTTGTTAGAAGAGCATGACTTTTCCTCACCTATTTTCATCCTTCCTACACTGCGGATTCTGTTAGATTTAATGATCGTGTGTGTTATCTTGTTGAACATTGGCACTTGTTTGGTATATTTGTTTGACCATGCACTGGACCATGTGTCTGCAAAATTCTTAAATGTGTGCAATGTACCTAGGAAAATTGATGGGTTTTTTTAAGGCAATGGGTGGACACAGCAACTTTTGATTTGATTTAATTTTTTTTCTTATGTACCTTGTTAATTGTTAAATAAAAATATTGCATTATTTTTGGAAGCATCTTCACATTACAGCATTTTTTCACAAGTACCTAAAACTTTTGCACAGTAATCTAATTACAAATTATACATTTTTTAACATATTGATAATTTTATGCACATCCAGGTGATCTCAGATACATGGACAGTATATTTAAAATATTACTGAAAATACTCTACATCTCCATTAAGCTTTACCTACATGCTTGGTGAAATCAAAATCTTAGCCAGTATTGCATGAAACCGTTAAGATGGCCGTAAGATAATAGTTTAATTCCAAGGCACTGTCAACGGGAGCTTAGTTGACA